AACTCATTTCTAAGAAACAAATGTATCAAATCCAGAAAATATTTTTAGTTTTTATTTCCTTTTTGTAGCTCAGAGATTATCAGGGGTATGAAGTCCATAAGACTAATCAGTTCCTGTTTAAATTAAAAAAAAAATATTGCCAGACAAGAAGAGTATTATTTTTCTCATTTGATGAGGGATTCATTTAAAAAATAAAAGAACAAGCGGTGCTGTCGGAAGAAAAATAATCAAATTGAATTTCAGTTCTATTAACATAGCGCCGATTTCACAACAGGAGTCTTCATACTCTATGATAGGGACTGCAATCTTAGAAAGACCATTCTATGAGCAAACACCCTTTTAATAGGAAGAAACCTCCGGCAGAAACTGGCTCAGGGGGAGGAGGCCATCTGCTGCAACGAATGGCGGTGAGGCGAGGAAGACGGGGCAAAAGACACGGTGTGGAAGAGAGCCAGAGATTAATGATAAGAGCAATTTAAAAAAATTGCCCGACTTTTTACATTATTAGTATTTCTACCATGATCGGAGTGGGAATTACAGCACATTAAAAAAAACACTTTACTCCAATTTTCACACATAATGCTCACATTGAACCCTTGGGTGGGCCAGTTTTGACTTTGGAGCTGTATGAACCTAGAGCCACGTACACAAGGAGCCTCCATGAAAGTGGAAATGTTTTGTAATAGACGCGTAGTGTCTTTGAGGAGAGCGTTTGGACTAAAACTCGACCTTCCTGTCGTCTCCTACCCTCAGTGCCCATGATGGTGATGGCAGGGCTGTGCACTCTGTTCACCTGCTGCTTCCTCGTCTTCTTCAACACCCGCTACAGGCGACTGGAGGCCGAAGAACAAGCGACTTACGGGACCAGAGAGAGCCAGCATCTATACAGGAATGAGCACCCTCCGTGGAGGCGTGAAGCTGCTGACAATACAGAGGAAACATGCCACTATGAGTGAGAGCAGAAAGGTACTCGAACAGATGATCTGTTTTTGTTTTGTTTTTTTTAAATAAAGATGTTTGTGTGTGGTTTGATTAAGTCACAAACTTTTAGTACATTGTTGGATGTAACAAGTAAATAATCCAAATTTTCAATCCTCAAAAAAAAGTTTAAATTATTATTTTCCAGCCACTTTGGCATGTAAATAATCTGTGTCAATACATGTAAATAATAATAATAATAATGATAATAATAATAATAATAATAATAATAATAATAATAATATGAGAAGAAAAAGGAGGAAATTATTTTAATACAGGACACTGCAGACTTTTACTCGCTCAGATTTAATACAAAGGTGAAGAAATGTTATCTCAAAATGAAGTTCATTGTGTACACGGGTATAAAACACCCACCCACACCTGACCAGGTACAGTAGAGTAAATGGTAATGGGAGTTTGGTGCTTTGTTACAAAACTTGCTTTTATGGATTAAGTTAAATTTCACATGTAGACCACATGTGTCAGCATTCATGTATCCACTGTCCTTCAGTGCTCTCCACTTTAGTCTTACAGTCTTCCTTTGAACAGCAAACATGTAAAGGTCATAAACTGTGAGTCACATGACTCAGCACACTCGTTCGTGTGCAGATTCATTTTGACTCTCAGGGACTGACTTTGTGCCGTCAGTCAGCACTCGTGCTGCTTGAAATAAGTCCTGATGCCATCCTATTACAGTGAGAGACTTGACTTGATAGATCGTAGGGAGGAAACTTGCATACATTTTTGAAAAATCACTAAAAACCACAAATATTCTCCAGATATCATGTATTAACTTTACGTGTTAAAACGGGTTTTCTGCAGGTTTCTGAAAACTGTTTTTCAAACATGACTACCTGAATGTTGTTAAAAAATAAGCATAACAATATCTTTCTACCGCTGTAAAAAATAAAATAAAATTTAGAAATAAAAAAAAAACTCCTAAAAAGTGTTTTAACCACTTTAATGCTTTTATTTTTGTAAAT